TAGAGGATCTCAATATCACTGACCACCCTCGATCGGTCATAATTCCAGTTTAGCAACCTTTTCTTGCAGTCGGAATCATCGTGAGAGTTTGGTCTCAATGAGTGTAGCATACTGCTACTTTTCTATGGCCAAGTTGGTCAATTATCGGTTCTAAGGTCAGTTGGTGCTTAATGACCCCTTAGCAGACCCATATTCTCCTCGTTGCGCCACAAGGGATATCGGTACATACTAAAGTGCCACACCAACGTAGCTACTGCTTCAACAGTATCGGTCTATGTCATACAGTTCCCTCACAGTTTATTGCTACTTACCTAAAGGGTATCCCACAGATCCGGGTTAGGATCTATAGTAACTCTGATTCAAGCCCACAAAGATAAATCATACAATTCAAGCAATTGAAAACATCATGAACTAATCCTAAGGTACACCCCACTTATAAGCGTCCCCAGCAGAGTCGCCAGTTCTGTGATACGGTGGGAAGAACTGACTGTTTTTTGGAACGCTGGTTTGCGTTTTGCGTTTGTTTATGCAAAATGTCGCGGTAAGCAAGAGTCGCCACCGACTTTTATTTTATCCAACAAGGAAAGGAAAAAAGCACAGAAAAATTCCTTTTTCGAGATATTTCTCGGGTTCGAGGGGTAGATTATAGAAAGGGAAGGTGTTAGCACCCTTTCTATTCGTGGTTATCCACGGGCTCTTAGGTACTTGCTCATTGTTTTCAAAATTGTTTTCTTTGTGCTTGTGGGTTTGAAATTTTTTTTTGTTTGAACTAAGAAAGAAACTATCCTAAATTAATGAAGTGTGAAAAAGATTTTAACTCTTGCTTCTGTCCTCAAGAGTGTAATGAAGTGTTTTTAAAAACTTTGTTTGAAAAGGTGTAAGTGTGAAAAAGATTTTGCTTTTTTTGAAAGAGCAAGTATCTAAGAACTATCTACATACTCGAAAAAGGAATCGTTATATGCTAATTTCCTTTAGACAATGCTATCCCACTATTAGTGAGTAGGTAGCATCGTCGTTGGAGTTTTAAGGGTCAATTCGAATTAGGGACGTGCAGTCATCAAAGCAATGTTAGGACGCTTTAGCGGTAACCCTAAGGTCTTAGATCATTTGTTTTGAGGCAACAATATCTGAGGCAGCCGTTTCGAGGCAACTATGATCTTTTAGACAAGAGGGCAATCTCTAAAGTGACCTATACTCAATGACCGCGTACGAAGGCAACCAAGTGGGGTGTACCCTAAGAGTGAGCATGTGCGAGTCTGTCGTTTTCAGTAATTTTTGTCTTTGTACATGTTAATGGTGATCTATATTGATTTTAGGTTAAAATATTCAGTCTTGTCATGCATCCTATTATGAAATATCTAACAGTTATATTTTGCGGAAAATAAATTGCGGAATTTAAATTACAAGGCGTCGGGTATTTACATCGCCAAAGACAAACCCTTTAAAAATAAATAAAGCGATAAAAAGTCCTATTGAGCTATTACAAACCAGAATCAAATACATAATGGATAAAGGAAAATAAATCGCGTGCGAGAAATTAAATCGAGCGCAAATAGGATTTTGACCCTTTTTGAGAGAAAGTATCTTTTTTTTTTTTTGAATTAAGAAAGAAACTATCCTAAATTAATTACTAAATTAATTAATTAAATGAAAAAAGTTATTTTTGGGTTTTTGGTATTTTAAGAAAGAAAAAATAAAATAATTAATGTTAGTAATCAAAACCTAAATTAATTCTAATTTAATTTTAATTGTTTACAAAAAAGGTTAAAGTTATTCTAATTAAAAAACCTACATTAATTTAATTAGTATTTATTAATAAAAAATAAAAATTTAAAGTTTGGTTTGATAAAGAAAAATATTTTGTGATTTTATTTTATGAAAAAAAAGGAAATTTGTGATTGGTTAATAGAATTAAATAATAATTATAAAACAAATACTAAATAAAATAAAATAAAATAAAGAGAAGAGGGGGTATGGGCCTGAATATGGGTGTTTGAACAGCAGATCTGTGGCCCAAACGAGATGGCCCTTTGGTGACTTTTGAGATCCAGTAGGCGTTCATGGACTTTGTCTATGGTGAACCATCAATTATTGGCCATCAGATTTGGCCTTGGGCCATCTGGCAGCTGGATATATGAAGGCGTATGGTGTTCTACGCGCTTGAATCTGCACACAATCACCTGAAGAAGAAAAATAAATAGAAATTTGGGGGACCTGGGGTTCGAACCCAGGTCCTGATGGTATTTGGAGTGCTTGCTTGCCACCGGGACGCTTTGCTTCATTTGTAAATATATTACACAAAAATAATAATATGATAAAACAACATTAATTGGTCAGAAAACAAAATAAACGCGCCATTATTTGAATAGGCAAATGAGGGGGTGATAACTCATCACCCCTGTCCTTCGTCTGTTGCTAAAGATCAAGGAGGCTATACCTACGGACGGGAGTCCGTCGCTACAAGCCTGTCACGCTCCAAAATTCTCCACAGGCCATAGAAATGCCTTCCAATGCCATGGTTAAACTCGTCTTCCTCTCCCGGTCACGCCTATAGCCATTATTAAGGCTAATTTTATCTGTAACAAAAACCCCTAAACCAAGAAGCAAAACCCTAACAATGGTGTTTTGCATCACAGAGCATATAAATGAAATCAAATAATGCAAAAGGCTTGGAAATGATCTGGTGATTACAAATATGCCATTAATTCATTGTAACAATGCATAATTTTTGAAATACGAAACCAAGTGCAGAAGGAAATCGCTTACAATGCTCTAGGAGGTTTGAGAATGCTTGTTCTTGATCCAGGTAGATAGTGTGATCACCCAGGAATCGATTGGGACCGATCCAAGCTTCTGAAATTGCTTCTAAGTATGAATTCAAATTCAAGCTTTTTGTCACTTTTTTCAAGTTTTGTTCTGTCTATGCTTGCAGCCTCCAACCTCTATTTTCGTGCCTTTGCCTTCCTTATGTAATGTATATTGCATTAGGGTAAGAAACTTGGTACAAATCTCTCCATATCAATGCTCATGAATTGGATTTGATTCCACCATTACAACCTTCCAAATTTGGCCTAAATCATATCTTCTTGTAACCAATGCACTTGATGCGAATTTGATTCACATAATAGCTGTACTCAAAGCCTAAAGCAACCAAAAAATTATGAGTTATAAATACTTTTGATTTTATATGATTTTATTTGATTTAAAATGAATAAATTCAATTAAAAATCAAATTAAATAATAAAAATAAGATATGGGCTCATGGCTGAAGCTAGGACACGTGGACAATGATGCAAGATCAAATCAAGTGGAAAAGAATGGGCCCATTTGACAAAATTTTGAAGTTTTGGGGATAGTTGACTTTTGGCAATTTTGCAAAAATGTCCAACTTCAACAATGCATAACTTCTTCAATTTTGAACTTTTGGAAGTGTTCTTGGACTTTTTTTAAATCTTGAGATGTACTCTAACCAACCCTTTTTGTCTCATCTTATTTTGATATTCCATGCTCAAGTTATAAGCTTTGGAAAAAAGATGTTTTTGTTGACTTTCAAAAATGACCTATAATGTCTAAATTCATAACTTCTTGTGAGTGCATTTTATGATCTTGGGGTATGAATATGGATTGTAGAGAATTGCATTCTCTTCAAAATGAGATTTGGATGGGTCATTTCTCATAAAGTATGAGAGAGTTATGCTTGGTCAAAGTTGAGTTGACTTTTCCTACAAAACCCTAATTTAACAACTTTTGAGTCTTGATGAATTTTGAGCAATCCTAGATGAATCATGATCAACCCTTGATCAAATGATGAAATATCCTTCAAAATTATAATGTTGACATAAAATCTTGAAGTTTGACTGTTTATAGGTCACGGTTGACTTTTGCCCTAACAAAGTCAATTTTTGGACCCTTTGAGCATTTGACTGAGCAAACTTCCTCTGCAAGGCTTGAAACTTGACATGGATGACCTTGAGAACATATTAGGACATTGGGGAGAACTTGAGGTCATTTGTACTCAAGTATCTTGATGCAACACAAAACCCTAATTTGGGGTTGACTGCCTTAGGAGATGACTTGTCTGACCCACTCTTGAGCTACCTTGAGCCACTTGGAGATTTTCCTTGTAATGTTTTGAGAAATATGAGAGGTCAAATTTTGGGGTACAACATCATTCTTGGTACGATATTAGGGTTTTGGATCTCAAGAAACATAGACGTCTCCGCTAGTAGGGTTCCTCGAGATATAGGGTTTTCTTCATTAGAGTTCTTCAAGGAACAAAGGCATTAAGGTTTAACTCATCCAGAGAATAAAGAGTTCTCTTCATTTTGTTCTTGGTAGCGATTCTTCCATGGAGGATTATTGGATTAAAGTCTCACTTCAAGGCTACATTGAGCATTACTCTTTCCCATTGTGGGTTCATCATCATCAATTAGGGTTTATCCTAATCATTGTACCTCCAAGAATTCCTTTCATGAAGTTTAGAGGATTTAGTCAAGGACTTATTTCTGGTGATGTTACTTGTTAAAGGGTTAAGGATTGGTTGGAGTTTTCATTAAGTCAATATGTTTCTTATTGCTTAAGCTATGAATAAGTACCTCATCAATCTTGCAAATAGAATTTGTCTGGATTCAAAATTCAACTGAAAATGAGTTTCATTGGTCGAACATGACATAAAAGGTGTATTTGAGATTTCTTCGTGGTCAAGGCATACCTCATGGTTTTGCAAGTATTCATTTAAAATCTTAATGTGCGAAGTGTTGTATGGATTACTCGATTGCAAGTTCATATGGATTCAATTTCAATTGTCAAGAACATTATTCATCTTTTTCAAAGTCGTACTCATCATCCATTATTCAAGTTCAAAAGTGCATTTATTCGATACCATTCATTCATTTCAAGTCATCTTATTCAAGGTCATCTGAGTATGTTTCAAGACCATTTTTTAAATTCAAGGCATAAGTTCAACTTCAAAGCTCAAGGTTTAATATCATCATTCAACAATGCCCATTCTTGTTTATCCTTCTTGTTTAGCCTTTGTGTTACATTCATGTCACCAAAGTAGCATGTCAAAGTTTGGTCATTATGTGCTTCAAGTGAATGTTGCTAAAACATGTACACAAATTGTCCAAATTCAGCATCATTTATTCAAATTTCATAAGTCAATATGCAACTACATTCAAAATTCAAACTAAATTTCATTACCAAATAAAATATCCGTAGCGCTATTGCTGCCTTGCCATTACATCAAGAATTAAAAGAAAAAAACATGTTGCCTCGGCAGTCTAAAAGAGATATTGATACTGCTAAGTGGTGTTTTCAGTTGAGATAAGATTCTGAAGGGATTGTTGAATTTAGATTTAATTGGTCTTCATACACTTGATTATGATCGCCCCTTTCTCGTACGCTGCAGTAGAATGCTAAGTCTGGATTATGTATCTAAGCAAAGGCATGTAGGACTTGATTACTTAGGCTGCCTCAACGAACTGAAAAAATATAACATCAAGGTTGAAATAAATAAAACAGAGAAGGCAAGCTGTAACACGCAAAACAGAAAACCATCTGTATGAAAATTCATATTGGAAACAGTTCATCAAAAGAAAACTAGGTTAATATAACAGTTCAAAAGAAAAACCAATTCGCACGATTAACCTTGCGATCTGAAGTTAGAAAATTAGAAAAGAAGCTACGCGAATACGAACAGAGGAAATTACTCAGAAATAGAAAGGTTACAGCTCAACAACCTCTGTATATAAACTACACACCTGAACGTCCTTCAACTCCTGCCCAAAATTCAATTGAGTACAAGGATCCATTCTACTATTCCATGACCAAGCTGCAATTCAAGTTCAAACTAGCCCATACAGCAACCATGACTCCTGCACCAAATAAAAAAACGGTTCAACATTAAGCCAAATCAATACATTCCTCAAAACAGATTCATAACTTCCATAACTAATCTCTAACAATCCCCTCACTAACTTTCTCACAACAACCAAAACAGGAAATAACTTCCAACTGCATTTGCCTAACAACCTAGTATAGACTCCTAACCGTCTAATAGTCTTCCAACTAACTTCCTAACAAAAGCCTAACAGAAATCATAAAAAATGAAAAATGGAAGGCTATAACGGAGATCATAACAAATTGGAGAAGGGAGGAGAATCACCAAAAAAACAGAAAGCTCCTTTTCCATTTTTCCCTCGGAATTAGATCTTCACCTTCATCTTTTTGAACTTCCATCACCACCTTCATCAATTATTCAACCTATTTCCATTCTCTATGCCTTCTTTCAACCTTCATTCTCTCTATCTTCTTCGATCTTCACTCTCTTTTCCCCTTCCTTCAACAATTTTTATTTTACAATTTTCCCCTGGGATTTTTGCTTGACTCTTTATCATCCTCAACTCTTCAACTTTCTTCTCTACGTCAACCTAGCTTCAATCATCATCATTCAACAATCATCCCTCAATATCCAGCGTCAGTGAATTGACGTCATCACCATCATTCAATTTCTAAATTTGATGTAGCTTCAACAGTAAAACCTGTAAACTGCAACAAACAACAACTTTCATATTCGTTTGTTTTCAACTGCAACTAAAACAACAACAATAACTTCTCAGCGTCAAACGGAAGCAATAGCGAAGAAGAAAGAACGCAAACGCGAAAGGAAGAATACGTTATCCAAACCACGCACAAAGACGAAGAAGAAGGGTCAGAATCAGATAGGTGAAAAGAATATTTACCTGTACATCGAAACTTTCGCCAGAGCAGATTTCTTCGCCGTTGTCGCTGTGAGGTAGGTCTGAATTGTTTGCTTTTGTTTCATTCTTGGTAATATTGTGTAGAGTGAGGCCTCACGAACACTTCCCCCAAGGTGCCATGGCCGGATGTTTCTCCGGGAGTATTCAATTTTTATTTTTGTAAATCCTAGGGTTTTCTATCATGATTGGCTAGGGAGAGGAACTAAGGTAAACGAGGTGGAGTCTAGAGGTTTTGGAATCCAGATAAAATTCATGGTTGTCTGGATTGTGATTTCTAAATACCGACCGCCGTGACTCAGGGAAGCGATATGTTATGGCAGAGGTGAGAACATGAAGAAGAAAGCGCCGCAGAGTCAAGAGAGGAAGATTGTTTCTTCTTGAGAAGCTGATAAGTCACAAAACTTAATCAATCTGATGCATACAACGTTGTCGTTTGGTTTTTTGCCCATTATATTTTTTTGTTCAGTTGACAATGTGATGTATTAATTGTTGAATCCTAAGGCTTAAAAATGGTGATAAAATGGTGTTGTACCTTGGGCTCATGCGCTAAATTTCCTCCTACAAGTCCATGTATTTTATTACTGAAGAGTTATTGGGACAAAAAGGCATGTTTGGTTGGGCCTAGCGCCTAAATTACTTCTATGCCCCTGGATTTTGGCACGCACCCTTGAGTTCTTTATTTTAGTATTTTCTATTTGATAGTTGTTTAGTTTTGTGGAATTTTTTTTCCTCTGCATGATAAAAACAATAAAACCAATAAAAACTTGTTAGATTTTTTGGTTTTTAAGAAATTAAATTTCGATTATCCAACTCGTGCTTCACCTTTGCTTGTTGAGATCTGAAATTTTATGCAGATTTATTGTGCGATATGTGGACGTGATTGAGATTTCGATTGTGATTTATTTTCACATCGATGATGCTTCGACACTTATTCCGAATATTCGATCTCTGACTGTTTATTTATTGATTCCAGCTCGCGCGAAGTGTTCCGAGTTTCTTTTCTGTGGTTGCGCTTTTTTGCGGATATTATTATTCGTTTGGTATTATACTGCTTCCAATTTATCTTTCTGCATTTTATTGCTTTTTAGATATCATGAGAAGTAGGAAATAAAGAGTGTGCGCTCGAAGTCGCTGTTTAAAGACCTGTAGCAGGCATTCCTCACTTCATTTTCTATATGTGTCGTGCTTGTGTTTGTTTCCTTGGTTGTTGATCGATGAGTCACTTAATTTAGAAGTTGAGATCACGGCTTCGCTCTCAGTGCATGCTCCCTATAGAATTTTATCGTTTTCCTTTATTTCTTGTTGATCGATGAGTCACTCAATTTAGAAATTGAGATCACGACTTCGCTCTCATTGTATGTTCCCTATAGGACATTTTGTTAGAGTTTCTTTGGCGTGCTAACCTAGGTAGGATCTCTCTAGGTGTACTCTCTTGAGCTTATTGGTGTGCTTTCTTGATTTCGTCTTTGTGTGCATGTTTTGAGATGATAGACCCTTGCTATGCTCCTCTAGGACTTCTTGATTCATCTATGGATGGTGAATTGAGATAGACATTAGGACTGTTATCCAAGCATGTCAATTTAGGGTAGAGATTTCTCTCCAAAGCTCAACCTTAGGATCAATCTGTTGGCTGAAGATTTTGATATTGTGATTCGAAATGAAATGATTGGGCTTTGTTTGAATAAAGCAAGTTTTATGGTTTGGAATGGAAGAGACTGTTTTTTCGAATGGAAATATTAAAGTTCAAGGTTTCGAATGATAGTTGTGGAGTGTAAGTCTAAAGAATTTTCGAAATAATGATGAGATTATATTTGTGAAGGTTATTTTCGAAAATAACCTTTGAAACGAATTCGAAACGAAGGTTCCAAGGCGTTTGAAATTCAAACATGAGCGGGATATTGGAAATTCAAATACATAAGCGTTGGAGAATTCGAGGACGCGTGGAGGCTAGAGGGAAGTAATGCTCTGCATGCTTCGAACGTGGCAGATTCTGATAGCAAGACCGTTATGGTCGAAATAGTATAAATAGAGGTCTTAGTGTTAGGATTTCGGTGTGTCATATCTGTTGTACAAATTCAGTAAACATTCAAAATACCGCATGGATAGGGAAACGAATGCTCGAAAGATGTACGCATGATAACACCAACATTTACAATTCAATGAAAACTCTTTATATTTTCCAGTTTTGTCTTTCATTTCCATTTCATTTGTGCTTCAAACATTTTTACGTTCATGCCTTTACATTAAAGCTTTTACATTCAGAGTCATTTATTTCTTTCTGCATTTAAACGCTTTTCTTATGTTCGAATCCTTTAAACATTCAGCAACTTTTACATTCACTCACTTAATCCTGCCATTTACCTAATCTTAAGTCTTTTTACTTTTCTAATGAACATTCCTTATATCATATAGAAATTATCCTTCTAATCATTTAGTGTAGTAATCGAAGTGGATTGGATGTCTTTGAAACACTTTAATTAGAAGTTCTAAATATGAATACCAGTTTTACAATTAGATTAAGCCAAACAACTATGTCCCATAGGATCAATCTAGTCGATCCTGCAAGTTACCAGAGAAATTGAATAACAGTAATTAAGTTTATTCGATAGTTTGGAAGACTAGCGGTTGTTTACCAGAAATCACTGTGAGCAAATTGGCACGCCCAGTGGGACTCGTTGTTAAGAAAGTCGAAAGTAAAGATTTTTAGGATATAATCTCGCTGTGTAAGTTCTTTTCTGAGTATCAATTTCGCTGTTATATGAACCTTAGAAGTGGTAAAACAACTAATAGTAACCAACCCTTACCCAGAAGAAAATGTAGTAGTAGGATGTCTAATCCAAGCAATCAACAAGGGGAACAAAATGCCCCACATGGAACAGGCACCAATACATCTGTTTCGACGGGGACGTCTAACGCGATCCCTATGAACGCACAGTCTGTTGCATCTTCTACCAGTAGTGTGGCCACAAATGGAGCAAGTGGCACGACAACCAACAGTTCGACCCTAGGAAATACAGGGACCATTGGTTATCCTGCGGGATTTGTCCCACCATCAGGGACACAAACCCATTTCGCCACCCCACCACCAACTAGACCACCCGGTTTCGATGGCAATAGACCCAGAAATCCCTCTTATGGGATGCCAGCATCTTTTATGGCGGGTTTGCACAATTCCACATCAAATTCGTCACCACAATTTGGGTCCGGATCTGGGGCCAACCAATTTATGACAAATACCCAAGGTTCAGTAGGTCATACTACACTGCCTATCTTAACCACAGAAAATCAGATGGCCTTTAGACAATTAATGGATGATAGTAACCATAATATGATAGGAGTGTTAGCACAGACTATGCAAGAAATCTTTGCCCCAATAGTACAAAATGTATCTGTAACCAACAGAGAGAACGCGGACAACATGAGTCGAATAGCAGATTTTTTCGCTCCGCCAGAAAGGCGTAGGCAGAATCAGGCGTTGGTTCGAGCAAACATACCCATCATAGAACAAATTGCTGATGACCCACCCTATAGACCAGCCAGAGAGGGGGTTAACTTGGGGGCAAGGGCACAAAGACAAGATGCCCCAGTGATTCGAGAGGAACCACAAAGGGGAGTTATAGAACCAGGGGCAAGGGTCGAAAGGTTAGAAGCCCCAGTGATTCGAGAGGAACCACGAAGGGGAGTTATAGAACCAGGGGCAAGGGTCGAAAGGTTAGAAGTCCCAGAGTTTCGAGAAGAACAACCTAGAGGAGTTGTCATGGTGGGTCGACACCAAGATGCTGATGAAGTCGTTCATAGAATTCGAAATAACAACATCTTGGCAGAAAATAATTTAACCACCATGATAGAAAGGATTATGGCTCAAAACGGTCTCAATACAGGAATTAGAAGGCCAAACTATTCCTCTCCCATAGTAGATTATGTGATGCACACTGATTTACCAAGGGGATATAAGGTCCCTAAATTTACAAAGTTCGCTGGAGACACCAATGAGTCAACAGTCGAACACATAGCCAGGTATCTGACCGAAGCAGGAGACATAGAAAATAATGAGAACCTTAGGATTAAATATTTCCCAAGTTCCCTAACTAAGAACGCTTTCACATGGTTCACCACATTGCCTCCTGGATCCATAGATACTTGGACTCTTTTGGAGAGATTATTTCATGAACAATTCACATGGTTCATCACAGTTTCTTAGGCCACAAAACCTCACAATGTTTTCTTTTCAGGGATCTGATTCAAAATGCAATCAAGGATGGTAGATTAAGGTTCGCTGACAAGCCAAAGATGAAAGTTGATGATGACCCTTTAGATGTTGCTGACACCAATTACTCTGAACCTGCATACATTGGAGAGATAAATATGGTTGGAGCAAATGAAGGTGACACTCCATCAGAAGAGGAAAACACTGAAGATGAAAACTATGTGTTAGCTGAAGTCGAAATGGAAGTTACTGAGGACTTCCATAAGAAACAAGAAGCTTTGATCGAAGCAGTTCCTTTGGTTGCTTCGAAAGAGATCCAGGCTACTGAAGGCCAGGAGAACCAAAAACAAAATTTGACACAGGCTACTGAAAGCCTGAGGCGAAAGTTGGAGAAAGTACAGATCACACTGCCAGTTCTTCCTCAGAAAGGAATATGGGATACCTTGGGGGAGCCCAGCGGAAAGTTCGATTACATGGTGAAGTATTCCGCCCCAGAAAGTTCAAAGACCCCAATTGAAGACATCAAACCTACAGGATGGGGAGATACTGATATCAAAGGAGAAGATGTGGATGTTAACATGGTAAGTATGGAGCAACCTTGTTCCGAAATGAAGGAAATGGAAAGGTACTTAGAGAAAGAAAAATACAAGATGGAAGACAGTTATGCTAGGGATGCCAATCTCAAAGACTACCTTATGCTATGCCACAAAGAGAATGCTGTAATGATGTTATGTCCCAGATGTAGCATCATTTGTAATCAGAGAATTGCTGCAGACTTTGAAAAAAGACAAAGGGCACGAACAGGCGTCAACTGGCGTCAGGATAACCAGTTGTTCAGATGCTACCCTAAGGCTGGAG